GGTATATAATACTATGATTATAATAAGGAGCCGGAAAACAGTATAGGTAATAATTTAGGCTCCTATATTAGGGTGATGCTTTGTTCAACATGTCTAGCGCCGCTTTTTTTTCGAAGAAGTGGGTTCAGTGGTTTTTTAGGTTTCGGGTCGAGCGAGGGCTCTCAGGCCTTGGGTTCAGTCCAGGACACCGACCAGGCTTGCAAGCGCCAAAACCTTGCACCCTAAACCGACCCGTAACCCAGATCCGAAAGCCTGTACAGGTGCAGGGGCCTTCCAGCGACCAGGGCTGGGGACCTTCAAGAAATTGGACCAGGAAGCATTTTTTGGCAGCATTGGTCTGTCATGCAAAAGCGCATAGAAGTCTGTGTTGCTATCTCGCACCAGCGAGTGATCCTGCGGCACGTGCTGTCAACATTTCTTGTTGGGAGGCTCTCTCGCTTGCAAGGGACCCTCAACGTGCAATCAAAGGCAGGCTGGTGGCGGCTAGTGAGAATGATTCGGTTTATCTATACATATCTACAGGTCGAATGAAAGGATGCTGGCCCGGATTGGCTTTGCCAAGCCCAGGCAACGCGTGATTTCCTGTACGAGGGGTCCCCCCCCCCCGTAGCAAGTTTTAAATGCATCAAATACGGACAGATCCTGCTGCATCTGGAACAAGGCTTCGCTGCAGCACTCGATCGATGCTGATAGCAACCCAAGCTCATGTTTCAAGCAAACTGCAGCAAGTCACTTCAAGAAAACCATCAATTGTTCTTGGTAGCAACTCACGCCGGTTTCCGAAAAGTTGTGTCGAATCACGGACCAACAAATAGCCAACCATTTTCTGCGCACACTGCACGGTGCATGCCTGTCTCCATCGAAAGTTCCGCAAAGCGAATCTCCCGACCCCTCTCCACCCTCTTCACGAATGCGTCTGGATTTCTGGCCACATTGATGAGGAACATGTTGAGCTCTCTTACGTAGAGCTGGTGTGTGGCCTGATCTGGTGGTAAGTTCTGCGGAGGCTTCGGAAATGACTGCGGCACTCGCACCGTTGATGTAGCGCAGCCGTTCTTGACCGTACCAGTGCTTGCACCGCACCCCATGGCTCGGCGAAGGGCAGCGGCAGCTATCTTCCGTGCAAAGAGACGGCTGCAGGAGAAGTCTGGGATGAGATCGGCAAATTCGCACCGGGCAATTGGTGGTTTCTTTGGCTCTACAGACGAAGTTGATCCCCCTTCGCCATGGGCTCTGAAGGCTTCATCGGAGACATTCCAGTGAGAACACGCTGCAAAGCTCAGCCAACCCAAAGCCCCAAATCTTCCTGGCCCAGGCCCAACATTCTCAGTAGCCGCTGCTCTTATTCTTGCTATTATTGTGAATACTCTTATGATTATGTTTATTGTTCTTTATGACTACCATCTGTGGGAAGCCCTCTGATCCCTTCAGCACCTTGAGGCCCTACTTCCACATTGCAAGCCTGACATAGCGAGCAGCTTGTCAGAAAGCCCTATAACAGCCACTGCCATTCATGAACGCCCAAACCCTAACAGACCCCTAACCCCTTAACCCTAAACCCTAAACCCTAAAACCCTAAACCCTAAACCCTAAAACCCTATACCCTGAAACCCTAAACCCTGAACCTTAAGCCCTAAATCCCAAAACCCTAAACCCTA